TCAGGATGACTATGAATGGGGAGCAGGCGTGGATTTTCTTCGCGACGTCGCAGATGAGCTTATCCGCCAGCGACCAGCCTTGAAGCGCCGCATCATCAATTTGCTCCCAACAAAGGCGGACGAGGGGAACAGAGCCCCACATCGTATACTTGGTGTGCGCCGCGGACGGCACTACACCATCTTATACGCCCGCGCAGGCCAAGAGATTCCTGAACGAGACTGTCATCTGCTATGGAATCCACCTTCGCCTGCACCCATACAGGAGAACGGCCGAAGTCGAAGCACTCTTTAAGAATACCGCACGAGAGGACCAGCAAGAGAGCCGGACTGACTCAGACAGGCAGCAAGAGAGTCGGACTGACTCGGATAGGCCATCCGGCCCAAGGAAAAGGCGACGCCCGGCTGTTCAGCCACAATCGAGCAGCTCGACTGCTCGCCCACTATCACAAAATTCGAATCCTCAAAACTTCGCTATTCAGGATACCCACACACGGTCGACACCATGGAGGGCCAGACATCGAAATATCCGCCGAGGACGCTATTTGCCGATGCGAGGACGCGATATCCCGAGCAATACGAGACCCGTGCAAGGACGCAATTTACTCGGATATCCGAGACCGATGCGAGGACGCAACCAGACCCGTACCTACCCCAGGGGTCGCAGTGGCAACCCGGGCTGAGTGGGGCAGCCAACCCAGTGGGGGGGGGAAGACGTGTCATGTACAGTTTCATACGTTGTACCCTATTTTTGACATGTTGTACTGCTTACTATTTTCGTAGTTCTGTGTAGATTATACGATGACCTCGTATGTATCCTTATTACCTCGTATGTTCGCATCCAATGAAGTCATATGTATCCTCATTACTCCGTATGCTGCCATAAAATGAAGTTTCTCTTTAATCAAGTAATGCTTGACCGTGGTATATCGATAGTTTCGATCAATACCTATATCCGTTGTAACTGGTGGTTATGGGCTGAGTGGGGCAGCCATTACCGTAAGGGGGGAAATGTCAGGTACTCCTGGGTCTCGTTAACTCCTGTACCTGTTTATGTCATGTTCATAGTTTATTGCGTCGCCCCTTACACAAATCGATACATGGTCGACCTTGGGCAGTCGACTATGCCTGTATTGATCGGCTCCGGCACGGCGGAGGAGCCCCTAGCGTGGGAAAGGTCACTCAGTGACCAATCAAAACACTCCACGCCCAATGGGCGGAGCGAAGGGCTATATAAGCGTGAGGAGGCCGATGCGGAGCGCACTTGGTGAACTGTCTTATAAGCGAGAGGCGAAGCCTCATTATTACTACGAGCAAGACAGAGTATAGCTTTTGGCAAGCTATAGGGCTAGACGTGACTTTCCTAGCCCAGTCGAGTGGTCGGCTTGACTAAAGTGTTCACCGCAGGATACGGACGGCATCCTGATAAGCCCCGCCTCCTCCATTGGGCACATCCACACCACAATCCCACGTGTACGGGCTCAACCGCGTGTCGAAGCCGCAGGATTCATAGCCCACGTGTATTCTAATCCAAGCTCAAGCAGTCTTAGGGAAATGACATCCATAAGTTGTTCGCTCATATTGTCAACTGTCGGATTCACTTGCTTGGCACGTTCTTATTGAACATGTAATAGATCAACAAATAAATAACCGGAAAAGGGCTACATGCCGTGGACGAAGATATTTTATGTAAAAAGCCCCACAGAGCGAGAAACCCGTGAAAGAAAAACGGACAGCCTTCGTGACTAATGAGCACAGAAGGAAGACTATGCGTCTATGCGTTATGCGTTCCGTTCAAAGGCACAAGTGAATAGAAGCTGACCAGGAAAGGTCAACAGGTCAGCCCGGCCATATGCAATGAGATGCACATCATTGTACTCATCTTGACACGGTGAACTCAAAACTATCTTCAAAATTTGCGGAACGATTCTCTGAGCGGAGTTATGGAGGTTTTTCTTTACTGTTTTTCTTCTTCCAGGCGCGCTGGCGCCGAAGCGTTGGCACCTGTAGCGCGACTCACAGCGCTCTTCGCGCAAAATAGGTATCATATTCGTGTTCAGGGGGTCAAATAACCCCTAGAGACGTCACCTTAGCGAAATCTGAGCTTCTGACTCAACTTCGAAAAAATGGGGTATGGATAGTCATGGCTGACTGATAGCCAACAGCGATACTACGACTAGCATACTGGTGATGACTGGTCTTCGAACTGAAATAACTCTTCAGTCATGTCTTTTCGCAAAGAACAATACCTGGCTACTTATTCGTGCCGTCTGCATCATTTTCCTGATTACCGGTAGGAATTCCATCCCGAGACCAGTCATCGATGGTAGGTGAGCTCCAAACTGCTGCTAATTACCCATGGAATAACTCACATTTTCCAAGTTAGGTCGAAATATCAGATTCGGCTAGAAACTTGTTTCCAGGGGTAATTTGACCCGCTGAACACGAATATCATGGTATTCATTGCAAAAACCCTTGTGACATGTGCTACGGGGGGACAAGCACAAGCACTCTTTCAGGCCACAATGGGTCTACACTTTCGAAAAAACTGGTCGCAGTTTCCTTACAGGATAGTGCAGGCGAGCAGAGATGTTAGAAGCTTTGTCGGCCATGTTCTTGGACAAATGCAAAAAAAGACACCCTGCCGAGAACCGATCCTACGACGTCTCGCCTAGTAAATCCGCTCGCTATCCGTTGCGCTCTACTGCCACGTTTCAATGTGACTCCATTCTTGTATATGAAGACGCTTCCACGTTTCCTCGCGATAGCATGTGAAACAACCACGCGGGGATAAAACCCTCCATAACTCCGTTCAGAGAGTCGTTCCGCAAATTCTGAAGGTAGATTTGAGTTCACTGTCCCAAGACGCGTACAACGGTGTGCAGCTCATTGGAAATGGCCAGGCTGACCTGTTGACCTTTCCTGGTCAGAACCTTTACGTTTAAACCTCCCCTCTCAGGATTTCTTATTTGTTCAGTTTCTTTTGACTAAGACAAAGACTTCTCATTCTTGATGATTTTCTTCGTAACTCTGATTACTATGAGGGAAAAAATAGTGAAACTTGAGATAATCAACTCTCGTTACCTCCATTCGGGTGTGATGAATCCGTGGTGATACCTGGTTCTCCGGGAACAGTGCTGTTTATCTGTGAGACAGCCGTTGTTCCTACGGTGGATGTAGGATTTGAAGACGATCCAGAGGAAATGGTGCTTGTAGAGGTGTAGGAGACAGTAGTGGTACCGGCGCTGGTAGATGTTGCTGTGGTACTCGCGTTGGTAGAGGTTCCTGTGGTACCGGTGCTGGCAGAGGTACCACTGATACTGGAGGTGGTAGTGGTGTCAACTCTAGTAGAAGTGACGTTGGCAGTGGTGTAAGAAGTTCCAGCAGAGCTGCTGCTTGCTGGGGTGCTGGCAGCGGTGGTGCTGGTGGAAGAGGTAGTTGTATTAGTACCACTTCTGTTGATGGAGGATGTTGTTGGGGTAATAGTGGTGGTGGTAGCGGTAGATGTATTTGAGCCATTGGTGATGATGGAGGATGCCACAGTTGTGGCCGCAGTTGTGGAAGTGCTAATAATAGTCAGTAAGGTGGTTGAAGAAGCCGTCGTTGTCGTTGTATAACTGAAATTCACAGTAAAACATACAGCTACCTATCATTACACATAAAGAAAGTCATTCAGTTCTTCTTTAAGTGCTTACTTGGATATCGTGATTGCTAAAAACTTACCTGTTCGACCATACAAA